TGAACGAAAGTTTTCTAATCGCACAGAGTTGACCTCACATTAAAAATGCAGGAAAACAAAAAGCATGCACTTCCTGGTAAACAAATCTGTTTTCTAAGAAGATTGCCTCAAGAGGACATATCCATTCGCTCATGCAAACTTTGTTTTAAGCACTATATATATATATACATATATAAATATATTTATATATGTATATACTGTATATATGTATGTGTGTCTCTGTTGTCATGTTGTGTTTTTCTCTGTTCATTGTGTATCTTAAATTACCTGATGATATTGCTCCATAGAGGCGTTTTCTGAACACTGTTTGCCTCCCGGTTTATCTCTTGTGAATGTAATGTTTTTTTAGTGCTCATAATAAAACTGGTCTCCATGCAGAGCGTCTGTCTCTGCTACCATACACTTCCAGTGCAAGGCTACCCTTGAACAAGCTTTCAAATATGTTCTTAGCGCCACCTAAAGGTCCAAGCTACACAACTGCTTAATTTTCCTTCAATAGAAAATCCTTAAAACATCTATAACTTTTCTTTGACTTAAAAATGGCTGAAGCACATTTTTATTCATTCATTTATTATACATTAGACGATGATTTACAACAACAACAATAATGGTCGTTTTCAGGGCGCTTACAGAACTTTAGTAATCAAATGCTGACTGCTATTCTTTTGTTGCTGAGACCAAGAAAAAATAAGAAACATGGACGCCCTGGTCTGTGCTGGGCTTTATCAAAGTAATATGGTGAAAAACATTCACAGCATCCAGATCTAGCTTGTGTTTTACTGCCTGGGATGGAGGCCAGGTCTGAGAAAGTGCTGACGAAAATTTAAGCAGCTAAATGTGCTGAATAACGAGTGCAATCCACTCACTGTCCTGTTTCTGTTCTGATGCCTGGCTCATGGACTTTCAACAACTCTGTCGCCAACTCAGAAAGAGATTTACACTCAGATAATATTACAGTAATGTTCACTTTGGGGCAGCATTCAGCTCAGCAAAGCTCATAACAGTGAGTTCTAACAATTCCTCGTGTCTCATTAAGCCCTGGTATGAAACTGCCTGCTCATTGGCTGTGGGGTGACGACACTCATAATCTAAAAGCCATATTTTTGCGTCGAACTGTTCCTAATCGATCAGAGTGGCATTAAGTGTTGCAGAAAGATTTCTCTTTTTCTTTCTCATTTACTACTGTTACCACTACGTTACCCGGCGGATAATACGATGACAAACGAGGTGCAAAAGTACAGTAGATTAAAGCGACATCTAAAGCAGAACAAATGGCCCTCCTCACTTTCACAGCCCCCACGTTGAGTGATGATCTGGGATAAAACGTGGGTCAGCAAACACAAGCAGAGCAGAACTCGTTTGTTAACGGTGTGGTGGCGGTGGTGGTGGTGGGGGTCACTCAAGGGAGTCATGCTACCTCGTTGGTTTGGCTGCAGTGATCATGGTTTATATTGTTTGAATGACATAGGAATGATTCACATGTTTAATGTTTTTATTTAATTTGTTTTACAAGTGTAGGAATGTTACTCTAAACCACAGATTGCATGAAGTCATGCTTGGCCTGCTGGAATTGGATTACATGTTTGATTACATGTTTATATTGTTGTACTATAAAGTTCTAGTTTTAAAGTTTTTGACATGTCTGCAAATCCAGATGGATGTTTTTTCAACTATTCAGTTATTTATTTTTCTTTTAAATAATTGCTTACAAATATTTGTTTTTTCCCAGGAATGTTTTCTCAATAAATTGTCTTTTTTTTAATCTCCACCCAGCATTTTGTTTTGTGTCTGTAATGATTAAACATTAATGCCTGAACAAAGGATCATTAGACTTTATCTTCAGAAATATGGGTGTGAAAATCTTTAGACAACATCACATGACTAAAATAAATCGTGTTGAATGGCTCATCGTGGAAAACCGTGTTCGCATCATGATGCCGGAAAACTGTAGAACCTAAGTCACCTGTCAGACCAGAAGCCCACATCAAACGTCGGCCATGAGGTTCAGTTTGTCATCACTTTTGACAATGACTCCAGGAGCTTCAGGCAGAGCGAATGTAAATAATGGCTCATGATAATTTATGATAAGTGACTCTCCCCTGCGTCACCATTATGACATCAACACAGCCTTACACAATAGCACAAAATGACAATGTCAGACCTGAAGACCTGAAGTTTCCTTGAAAGCTCTCTGCAGTCAGCTGAATAAGTCACACATGCATTCCATGTATGACTAACAGATCACAGTGGAAGATGAGAGTACACTTTTAGTTTTAGCTTTAAAAGCTCACTCGCTGTCTTGCTTCCATCCAGGCCAGTGCTGTTTTTTATTTTCCCACAGGAACTAAAGTACTCTGGCTGATATTTTTAGGCGACAATCGGCTCATCTGATATTCTGTAGGTGAAAGGGCTGGGCAGCTGAACCAACTGTTTTCATCCTCTCTCTCTCTCTCTCTCTCTTAGCTGCAATGTAAAAAGACTCTATTTTATGTTTGCTTGTTAGAATATCTTAAATTTAAATAAACAAGATGGTCTAATAGTAGGTTAATGTGTGATCTTTGAATAGATATAGTCTTCCAGCTACCAAACTTGCTCATTTCAAGTTTATGCGATGTCCAAATGGTAATCCCAGATGTCAGTCCCACCATGACCATTGAAATATTTGAATAAAATGGTAGAGACTACACAATACTTTTTGAAATATTCACAAATCGGGGATTGTTATATACATATTGGCATATTTACATATAGACTATGTAAATATGCCACAGGAGTGCTGCATGGCTGCACCATTTCATAAAGACTGAAGGGCAAAGTCGCGGATGGGACAAGCTCTTGGGCACTTGTTAGAATGTTAGAACGGCACAAGTGTGGTACACTGCACTTTGCCAGGTTTGGGCTACAGGTGGCCAACAGCATTGGCACATAACAACAGTAAGTACTGTACTCTCAAACTAGAACTCGCCCATTTAATGGCACTTGTACATGACGTGAAAAAGACAATGACATATTTGTCAGAAATTACCCATTATTGGTTTGCTCACATTTGTTACCATGTAGGCCAATTGGGGTTCACACCCATATTGTTAGGGCCAGATGAAAGCCGAAAGTGTTGAATCATTACATGAAGTGTACCATATCTGCATCGCACCTGGTAATTAGCTTAATCTCCAAATTGCATGTTTTGTACTGTGGGAAGGAACCAGAAGAAGGCATGAAGAAAACACACACACAATGGAAAAACATACAAACTCTATCCAGAAATGCCACCTGCCTGAAGTGGAATAAAAACAGTGACCTCCCTGTTGTACAGCATCATTAACCTCTTATTCACTTCATCATATCTTTCATTGCAGAATGACTGCTGTCATTCTGCAATGTAAACCAGGGACCCCCTGCATTAATGTTTGATTCATTGTATTTAAAGCATATGTTACTCTACATGGCCACGGGGGGCGCTGTAGCCAAAGTGTCAACCGGCAAAGGCAGGGTACATTATGGACAGTTCACCGATCCATCGTGGGGCCACACATATAAATACAACCATTCACACACCAATGGTCTGATTTACCTTAATAGGAGTGCCTGGATCCCCCCAGCCCCCGCCCCACACACAGGGAGAACATGCTAACTCCAGGCAGAAAGACAGCTTGGGGATCAAACTTGTGAAACAGTGATCTTTTTGCTGCAAAGACATGAACACTGTAAAGTTAGTTTGAATAAGTTTTCATGTTTCATTTGAAGTAAACTTGAAGTAAACTGCTTTTTTTGGCCTTTAAAGTGGATTATAACGAGGAAAAAAATAGAGCGACAAACTGAGATCTTACTGATAAGGGAAATACAAAGATTATGACCAGCTTACATACAAATGATAAAGAAACTCTCAATTTAAAATTGAGGTTAAATGATTAAAATAGTTTGTTTTAACTACATTCAAGAGCAAGTGGAGCAACACATGCATTAGCATAGAAACACAGCTGGGTGTGTCTGCAAGAACAGTAGGGACATGGGAGGGTTTTCCTTAACAAATAGAAACATGGCGAGATTCTCGTTAAACCAGAAGTGCAGGAATCTGAACGAACGGGATCACAATGTGATAGTAGAACACCATTCACTGGCTCTGGGTCTGCAGCAAATCAGCTGCAATCATCAGGTGAATCAGCTCAGTGACTCAGACCTAAAAGGGAGGAGAGTAAAAATTCGATTCGATTTAAAAACATTAAATATTAATTTAAAAACACCTGCATTTAATTGAATGTTGAAAAGGCAATTTGCTGTTCAAGGAGCCAATTGTCTTTGTTAAAGATGTGACTAATGTGGTGCTTCCTGCAGATGCACAAATTAGACTTAACACTAATGTGAGAAAAGACAAAAAAAAAAAATAATACAAATACAAATGTATACTTCTATATATATAACTCTATGTGTATTCTGTCAGAAAACACATAGCATGGGTTACTTTGTCAGAGTAAGGGAAGAAATGCTCACATCATGACACAAAAAGTGTAAAATTAAATTCACCTGAGGTTCGGTTTATCATCACTTGTCTCCAGGGAAATCAGGTGCTTCAGACAGTGAGTGAAAATAGTGGCTCATAATAATTTATGATAAATATATAATATATAATATATACATACATATATATGTATTGAATTATGAAATCCACAAATTTAAAAATCTTTAAATTTGCAAAATTTTTGTATTTAAAATTGCTGTACAATGTTTAGATTTTTTAGACGTTCATGATTCTAATAGTAAATTAGCGAAATTTTAAGTGAAATATTTGTCTTTTGAAGTTGATATCAGGACACAAACTCAACTCAAACCGTTAAAAATATGAATTCATAAAATTAACTTCTTCGTTTTCTAAATTTAAACTTTAGTGTGATGCTAAAAATCTGATTGAAACCAATTCTTGCTTCCCCATATTCCCCTTCACATTTCACATTTCACCCATCGCTAATTTCCCATTGTCCTTGAATGCAACGCTAACAGCAACACAGTTGCAGCGCTGCCACGGCAGTAAAGTAGACAGTGAGTGGAAGTGGCAACCACACACACATCACACCACAATACACCAGGAGCGGACCTGGGTGGAGAAGACTTGGACAAGTGTTGGTAAAGTAAGCGGCCGGAGGAACCACATCCAGTCGCCGCATATATAGGACAAAAAGGATAGAAAGAAACATAGTTTTTAAATCGAATGGAGTTTGGCTTCTTTCACCGAGGATTAAAATAACCAACGGAAAGCTGGGAATCATTGTGACCGCAGCACACGTGAGAGATGTCACCGACTAATGAGGATTAATTTTCGGGAATGTTGGAGAAAAGTCTGAGAGCAGCTGTGACCCAGTGAAGAGTAAATTTAGTGGTAGCGGGAATGGCTTGATTCCTCGGCTCGAGCGGGCGGCTGGACGGACAGGAATAACAGAGTAGGAAGAGAAGGAATAGGAGGAAGAAAGTTTGCTGCGCTTTATTTGGATACGACGAGACTTATTTCTGTGTTTCTTAATCGGCCTTTGAGTGTTGTTGCTCTGGCTGCTCCTCACCCTGGCGCTGGTGGTGGAACCGTTCACCATGTCAAAACCGCCGCAAAAGAAAACCCACTGGACTTCTAGAGTGAACGAGTGCTCCGTCTGCAAAGACGCACGCGGTGACTTGAATGTGCCGCTGCGCGGCGGAGCGCAGGACGGCGAGTTCGCCTTCATCGGCCCGCTGAGCGGTGCCACGGTGCTGTACAACACCGGCAGACTGAGCGAAGGAGAACTGCTGTTGGAGGTGGAGAGCCTATCGGTGTCCGGATTACCTCTCTATGACGTGCAGACGGTGATACGGAACTGTCCCGGCCCCGTCAGGTTTAAAACGGTCAGGCCAGGTGAGTCGCCCACACGAATCTCCCCTCGGTTTGGGGATTTTTTTGTGTTCAAGTGTTCGCTGAAAGGTGGGAAAGGTAGTTAAAGCCTTTGCAACGTGTTATATTTTAAAAGAGGAAAGCATACAGCAGTGCGGCGTACATAAAATGTGGACTTTAAAAAAAAAAGTTGTTTATTAAAGTTTCTTTTTTTTATCCGGACATGAACTTTGGTGTTGTTTATTAAAGTTTTTTTTTTTTATCCGGACATGAACTTTGGTAATGAAAGGTTTGCAGTGACTAGAGAGGCAGGTCTATTCACTTCGCCGCGGCCACAATGACTTAAAGTAATTTCACGCCGTTGTTTCATTAGGCGCCAGGACATTTGTACATGTTTACGTTAAACTGAATATTTTTTGAATGAATATTGGCACCACCCACTTCAACCTGCAACATCCCTGTGGCAGGTTAAAAGTGGGTGGTGCTGAGATTCCCCAGAGGGTTGCACCTTTCTTTCTCTTCAGTAAATGCTTCCAATATTGGTTCAAACACCAGGATTCTTTTTATGGGGATACTTTTTTGTTCTTCTCTTTTTTCGGCTTTGTTCTAACGTGTAAACATATATCTAAACCAACCACTCGCAAAATTAATTGATAAATTGAAGCCCAGTATTTGTCCCACAATAGGGAAATTCCCAGTGTGAGTCTTTGCAACGCACGCAGGCTGCCACGGGAGGCGCTGTTAAGTATGTGGTTTCCCTGAGGCTCAAACCCAGGACCCTCTGCATGGGCAGATGTGTAAGGCAGGAGTGGTAACTGCTACACTATCATTCTTTTTATCTGATCAACATTTAATAGACGAGAAATAGAAGTTATTGGTGCCATTTGGTACATAACAGGGAGTGGATATCTTGGGACGTTTTGTCTGAGGCTGTTAAAATATACAGGACTGACAGAGGAATGAAAAAATCAGGAGTGGAACTATCACAAACCCTGTTAGAGAATTCCTGACGCGGTGCAGTGGGGCAGGTCTGGTTGGCTCTGTCTTGACTCAGCAGGACTACAGTAGTTTGACACAGAGCTGCTGTGACAGATCCCAGTATGGTGAAGCTTAGGCAGCTACAGGGATGCTAACAGCCTCCAGCTTGTGCCACTCTCAGTTCCTGTGGAGAAAATAGCAGCCAATATTGAAGGACACTCTCACGTGGCTGTAATATGTTTTGGTTTTGACTTAAAAGGGTTAAAAAGTCTTTTAAATTTGTCATCTACAACAAGCTTCCTGTCAGTCATTGACAGTTTCCAATTGGAAGCAACATTGACACCTGCGATTTCCCATTTTCTAATCAAGTGAGTTTATCTGTGTTGAGTTTCTTTTTTTTTACGTCAATTGTTTTGTATTGTCATGAAAGTCCATGTGCAGAAACAATGGCTGATAAATTTCTGGACAATATTCCAGAACAGAGATGTGAATGATTGATTACTAGTTTTTGGGATTTTCCGGACCACATATTTTACAAATAACATTTTTTTTCATTAATTAAAATAAAAATGTTTTTCATAGAAAACAGTGCAGCCTTGGCTTAGCTTCTTGTGAATTGCTGGTTTTCAAATGTTGTTGACCTGAACCTTCAGTTGGCTGACATTTGTGTGGCCGTCCTTCTGCTCTTTGAGACTACATTTTTTAAAGGTAAAGGATATTAGATCTTCACAACTTTGGAATCCAATTGCAGTTTGGATTGGATGGTTCGGCAGGCCAACTGTTAAACTGAAAATAATCCAACACTTCCGAAATAGAATAAAGTCAGCTGAAATTACAATAGCTGATGTAAACAAGATGATTTTCTAACGCTCACAGTGCTACATATTCTATGCTGCAGCTCTGTGTGTGTTTGTGTGTGCGTGTCCTGTTTTTGTTTTCCTTGTAACAAAGACAAAAACAGCAGTCAACGAACCTCCCCATACACCAGAGTGATCCTACTTCTTCGTGCTGCAGTGTTGGATCATTCTGGAATCTTGCTGATTTAGCATTTTTACATTTTAAGTGTCTGGACATCCTTTGTAGCACAACTATAAAAAGATAAAGTCAACACAATATCCTTCAGAGCAGACTGTCTCTCCCTGCCAGCAGTTTTGTAATGACTTTAAACAATGGAAGGAAACTCCCACTTTTGGCCAATCACAACTCCCGGGGCCCCCAGAGAGCCACCCACCCTTCCTCGCCTTTTTTTTTTTTTTTCAGGACACATCTGGCGTCGCCGGGTGTCCGAACCATATTACGTCACATGATCAGAAGCTTTTAATATTTCATGCAGTCTGGGACTTTTTTCTCCCTCATCAGGCCTAATTGGAGAAAATGTGCTTGGTGGCTTGTGGCCTGTGTAAAATCAATGACCTAATTTCACCTGGGTCTGGCATCACATTTCACAGTAGTAAAGCGAGACGGGAGTTCAGGAAACCAAAGATAGTATGAACTGCTTTGGTCAGACGACCAGCAGCATTTGTGTGGCTGTTAAAAAGTAAATCAGTTTGAAACTGTCATCTCTCTGGTAAGTCCTGTATGCAAACACAGCTGATAGAAGAGTCAAACAAGTGCTGTCACGCACATTTTACTGTTTGCGTTTGGGTTTCGGTGAAACACATGAACACAGTACACAAAGGACATGCCCACATGTTACGTAAAACATGTCATAGTCTGGGAATTAAAGGGATAGTTTGTTCTCTTTGCATGTCTCTGTGTGTGTGTGTGTGTTAATAATGTTCTAACTGATACTACAGGAACCCATCATGGGAATGATTCATTGTAGGGTTTACATTGCATTAAAGGAGTATTTCCCACAAATTGTCACAGGTTCTCTCCTCAGTTCAACAACTTTCAAAATATAATGCTTAGTGAATGGAATAAGATGAATGACAGTGGTTCATTGTCCAAATGACGCTGGTTCAAATTTCGCCCTCAGTACAGGCTGCTTATGTAGATTGGTTCATCTCTACTTAATATGTATTGTCTAGGGTTTTGTTTGGTAATGGTCAATCCACGCTGGATTTTAAATCATATTCAACATGTATGGGCCACAGCCATTAACTTGGCTATATTTATAGGCGGACCAGAGAGTTTCTTGACTATAGTTTAGTATTTGTCCAGAATACATGCGCAGGAGAAGAAAGATCCTTCAGGCATTTCTTTGGGAGTCAACATTCTCTAAAAATACACGATTAAAAACAATGAGAATAATAAAATGCTGCCTCCATCACTAACTACAAATGTTAAGATCCTTCGTTTGGATTTATTTATTGTAACTTATGAGGTGAGTAAGCCAGTAGCTTCTCTTTCTGATTGGCTAAATATCTTATATTATATAATATCATATTATAATAATAATTGATTAAGTCATCTATCAACGTTAGGGGCGAATGTTGTTTAATCCTGTGGCTAGTTTATGGATTATCTTTATAGGAAGATGACCTACTGCTCCACATATGTGAAACAGTGACACTGTATCACTCACAAACACACACACGCTCTCTCTGTCTCCCCCCCCCCCACACACACACATACACACACCGACAGCAGAGAGGTTTCACATGGGGATCAGATTAGTGTCATGCCGTCTCTCCAGTGTCACTGCAGATGTTGGGTGTGTCAGTTTTCCTGGAAAATCCATTTACAGTGATTTCTTTGGGTTGGGATAAAAGATGTGTTGGGTGTGTCAGAAAACTCTGGGCCTGTAAGTGTAGCCAGTGAGGACCTTTACACCATAAGCAGAGGGACACAAATGATCAGTCAGTTTTAACAGAGCGTTTCTTTTTTTTTTTTTTAAATTTATCATACAAAAGTTCTTAAACATTTTTTTCTGTTCTAGAAGTTTAAGTGCGTTGTAGTACAAAAATCAGATGTAGCAAAACTGTATTGTCTACTGGTGTTGCACAGATACATTGTCCGTCTGCTGCGTGATGTTTACCTTTCATCCAATACATTTGCCGGGCTAATTTCTGTCAAAAATCAGACATCGGTATAAATGTTCAGCTGGTCACCAACTATATTGTTGCAGGGCCCAATATTTTTCTGGACAGGCACCTTGGGGGCCAGACACGCCAATGAAATGAAATAAAAATCACATTATTGTGGAATATAGTGGTGGGCCAGATTGGGTGGTTGGGTGGGCCAGACTCAGGTTAACTTAAGGTCAGTAGTGTGCAGAAGTTTTATTTAGCTCTGTGTTAAATAAATATCCGTCCTTCCTCTTTCCTCCTACACCAAGCAGGAACTAGAACTCTTCAGCTCACGTTGACTTCCCCTCTCCTCTTTTTGTGTGGTTTCATTTCCAGAGGCTGCTGTGATAAATGAGGCCTGATAGGCTTTAAATTCTGTGGAGTAAAAAGTATACTCTTTCACGTGGCACTCGTGAGTGACTACTTAACCAGAGCCATTGCTGCTCAGATTTACAGCACTGTTTCTGCTGTAGCCCAGACTCAGCGTTTGTGTAGGCAGGAGTGTGTCTGGCAATGATTGCATATGGAAGTGTTTATTTCCTCTCTCTCAGCCGGAAGTTGGACACATCTCATCACCGCGCCAACTATTCTTCTATCTTTGTATTCTTTACCAGTGGTCAAGCGATACTTCCTTCCCTTCAAAAGATTTAAAAAAAGAACCACTCCATGTGTGTTCTCTCATCTCTCTGGGTGTGTGAGGGAGATAGTGGTCACATGTGAACAATATAAGCCACTTATAACTGCATTTGTAATTATGTTTGTTGGTGGTAAGCATAAGCTTTTTGCATTCAAATACACCGTAGAGATACCCTGTTACCGGCTAAATAGACCATGAAATGCTGTTTCCCTAAAGCAGCATTTATGCTTCGTAATCGCACTTAAGAGCTACATATGCACATGTGCACTGTCCTCCTTCTATTTTGCCAAAGAATTGTCTTTTCTGCCTAATTAGCTCCAGTGTAGGCTGCTGTATTTAGTGTGAATGGGAATTGGTCACACTTGGCGCATGCAATTACACACAGAGAGAAAGGCCAA